GACCTTTTGTAAGATAGACCTAGGAAGTCTTGTGATGCACAGCATTTCAAGGCTCCCCAGCAGGATGCATGGCTGTGGTTTGTGGAGAGGAGCAGAGCTGGGGCCACCATCCCTGGAGATGTGTGATGCTCCCTGTGAGGACACCTGGCCAAGAGCTGCCCTTCTCTGGGGGATACCTCAGCAAGTCACAAATCTGTGTCAGATCTGCATTTCAGGCGCTGGATCTGGGGTGGGGCTCAAGATTTTGAGTTTGGGCTGGAGAGCTGTGGTTTAATAATTCCCTAGCAAAAAAGAGAAGTCCAGGTTCATCCTGGCATGCTGCACTTCTCAGTAATTCTTGCTCTGATTGGGGCTCTCGTGCACTTTCATGGTGTCCTTGTGCAGCATTTAGCTTGCTCTTTGTGCTTTGCTTTGTGAAGTTCACAGCAGCTATTTCTTTTGCAGATACATGTAACAGCTTGAGACAAATGTGGATTTTTGGGGGAATAAATCCCTGTATTTTATTGCAGTATTTTAATGTGCATTTGCTGGTTATCTTTTATTTTAGGAATATCCATGAATATTTTGGGATTGTCCTAAATGTGGCATTGAAGTAAAGTGTAATGTCCAAACTTTGAATGTTCAGCAATGAAATTAAGTCTGGACAGAAATGGAGGGACTAATTCTGCTTTTACATTGTTCCTGGATTAATGTGGCTCCTCAGAGATCCCCAAGATGAACATAAATATTAGTGGCAGGATCTGGCCTGCTCCCAGACATGACAGTGATAAGACAAGAGCTGCTAAACGTTGTCCAGCTGGAGGAATGTTCACTAAAGATTGCGAGTGTTGTGCTGGGTTTTGTTCTAATAATGTTTCTGTGTTCTTTGGCAGATCTCTAGGAACTCTCTGACCTCCAAATGAAATACCGCATGCATTTTTTCAGCAAAAAATTTATTTCTATTTGACACTAAGAAACACCTTTTAAAGATTATAAAGAAATTTGTTCAGATTTGTTCATCTGCCTTGATGGTTACAGATGATTTTCATGAATGTTCAGCTTGACCTTGTTTCACTTCCTGAGAATTGTACCCTTATGTTTGTACTTTAATTTTGGGTAGAGTAAACAACACTTGTTTTATTGCCATTGGCAGAAGGAAAGTCCACTCTGAAAATTCAATGTCAGAAAGAGAGCACCTGGTTTTCCAACACTTGTTGCTGTTGAAACGCTTCTGTGAGCATCAGTGTTAATGTGTATCTGGACATGGATTTAGAAAAGCCTGAAAAAATTATCTTTATGATTGTTCACTCAGCATGTCTTTTTTGTTGTTGTTGTTTTTGTTTGTTTGTTTTTATATATATCTGTAACCAACTTGATGCTGCAGGTCTGGGCTTCCATACTAATTTATGCTCCAACAGAGTGACTGGGACTGCCCGAAATTTATGTGACTCTAAAGAATTGTGAGCTACTCTTAAGAATTTCTTATGTTATTTTTTTCTTTTGGTCTGTGTCTGATGCATGCTCCTTTTGTTTTGTTTCTGCTAATAGGCTCCTTGGGATGCTTCTCTACCACAGTATTTCTATCTGAGACTCCAGTTTATGAGTGCCATTTTTCTTCTCTCTCGTTTTGTTTCCAGAGCATACATAGACTGGTAACTTCACAGATGTTTAGTCAGAGAAGCAGCTGATTGTTCCATCAGATTTTGCTTTTGGCTCTGCCTTCCTAGGTTGGCCCTTGTTTTTGAGATAACATGTCAACGTTTATACTTTTCTCACCAGGCATATTTTATAAATGCAAAAATATCATCAAGATCTGCTTCCTTTTTATATTCTCATGAATGAGTAGAGCTAAAAGAAATTTGTGAAGCATTTCAGATCCATTCCTTCTTCTGTCCATGTGTTCTTGCAGTCTTCAGCTCTTGTGTGTTAGGTTCTTACAACCACGATCTGTTGTTTACATTTCTGCACAGCCATCCAGCTTGGATAGAGCTCCTGACCCAGCTGGCTGCGGCTGAGCACTGAGGTCCCTTTGTCATCTCTGTCCCTGGTGTCCCCTGTAGTGCTCTGGTGTCACTGTTGGTACAGAGGAGCTCCACTGCTGCCCTGCCTGGATCAGCTTCAGGTGTTCTGTGCTCCATGAGTTCCCTCGGAGCTGCTTCCTTTGCTGGGTGGCTTGGAAGACACCAAAGCCTCTTGGTTTCTCCATCAGCAGAACTTTTAGTTCTGTTGTGTCAGGAGAGAGCCTGGAAAGCTGACTGCTTTTCTCAGCAGTGTATGTGCACCTCGAGCACCTCATGAGAGCTGCAGTAGCTCACACTGTGGGTGATGTCTCTGACATGTGAAGCTCTGAAAGGGAAAGGTAAATTGGGTGTCTTACACACTGATACCTGTGCAGATCTGCCACATCTTCTCCACAGTGCTGCAGAATGGAAAGTCTTGTGATATGAAGGGCCTGAGCCTTTCCTCCCTCTTAGCTGAGCTTTCATGTGGATGAGTGTCAATATGTCCCCTGATGATTTTTTTTTTCTTCCTGTGCTCATATCTTGGAAATGGAAATTTTTGAAGACCTCCTTCTAAAGCACAATGAGCTTGCTTTCATTCTCCCAGGACTGTGAAGACATATCTGAAGGCTGATTTGTCTAAGAAGTTACTTTCTGTCTTTGATTGCACTGTCTTTGATGTGCAATTCTGTAGAATCAAAATATCTACAAATCAAAATATCTAATTCTTTAGCTTATACCATGATAGACAGATGATCTGTTTGTTGTAAAATGTTTTCTTTCTTGTATTTTTGGGCACTGACATAACTGAACCTCTGGTTTGGCCATTCCTTTTACCTTTTTTTCCCTCTTTATAAAAAATACACAGTTCTGTTTGTCCTTCCTACTTGAATCTTGATAGCTGCCCTTGCCCTGTCATATTTTTATACATGTAAGGCTGAAAATAAGTGCAGAAAATCAACTCATTCTGCCTATCCACAGCCACCTAAATTGGACAATGCTCAAAACTATCTGTCTAGGTCTCCCTAACTTGTCAGGGGTAAGAGCAAGGGCTCTACAGAAAGAGGTTTGCTTAACCTGTTTTGGATGCACCTCTAAGCATGGAATGCATAAAGGAAAGCAAGGGGGCTTTGTTTCCTTTTTTTGGTGAGCTGTAAAGTTACCTTAAACAATTAGTTTTGGCTTTTGGCTACAACCCTTGGTGTGCTTTTTCATCATCTTTGGTTTAGATTGAGGAAAATGAGGTTACAAGAGTTCCTCATCACAGTACAGTATTGTTCTTGCTCTTAAAATATTGCTCAGAGATCATCTGAAATTGTCCTACAGTTACTACTTTAAAAAAATCTGATCTCCTTGATGATCTATACTGAAATGTGTTTCTGAGTGACGGGGACACTTTGCAGGTAGATTTATTGTGGTTTTTACCATCTGCTTTAATAAACGAGTGAGCAGAGCATTTCAGAATGACCTTCGGTTCTACCCCTGAGAGATGAGTTTGAATGTTCTGAGTGAATTATGGGCATTAGACAGCTAAGGGTACTTATTCTGGAAATAGTGATTTACCAGTTGTTTGCATGCTGATGCTTTTATTTGTCTGGAGATATGCTAATGTGCATAAATGCTGTGTTTCCACATAGCTGCAGCTTTAGCCACTGTGGCACTTTCTGTGATGTGGGGGCATAGGCAGCAGTCTCATTGTTTGGTCTTGCAGACTTTGTTAAAAAATATTAGATTGCTCTGTTGCTTTTTAGTTGAAAAGGAGTTAATAAAACTAAATGTACTAGAAGAAATCCATGAAATCAGTGAACAGATAAAATGTTATTATTTGAAATGCATAATGTTGTATAATGGATGTGTATAAAGTGTGGCAGAGATGGAAGTGCACTCCAGACATAATGAAAGAACATGGATTCCTGTTTCCATAATTGAAGTTATTTCATACTTATCTGTTGGGGAAAAAATAGCAGGATTTTTTAAACAGATTTGCTTTCCATTAGTAATTATATTTAGCTGTAGCTCCAGATACCTTGCCAAGTTTTTTTTTTTTTTAAAGTTGGAAAGAAGATGCATTTTCTTTCAAGATAATTAAATGTTTTGACTGTAGATTTTTCCTCCAGAGTGAATAAAGTATATGTGCATTAGAAAAAAGTTTTAATTTCTCATATAGTTTATAAGAGTTATACAGAGGAAAAACATTCTTAATCCCATGCTTAATAATGGAATAGGAGAAAAGGGTCTAAATACGTTATATTCCACTTTTCTTTTTTGAAGTGTAATGAATTGTTATTAATAGACTTTAGAAGTACTTGCCATTAGTGGTCTGAAAACCATTGCATAAGGTGAACTTTTGCAGTTTCTCACAGCAGAGTTTTGAGGTTTGATTAAACCTGTGGCTATACCTCAAGCCCTGGCAGAGAGATGAATATCAGCCTGGATTTTGGGCTCAGTTCTGCTCTGCAAGACACCACACAGAAATGCAGGAAGCCTTTGAACTCTTCCAAGTTCAGTCTGGCCCTCTGAATGCCTCCAGAATATAAATAATAAAAACCAGTATCACTTGATAATTCATCTCTGCTCTCAACTCTTGGCCTCTCTGGCAAACTGAGTTTTTGAACTTTTATTTTTCTTGGTACCCTGGTACCATGATCCGCAGCTTCATTTGCCTTGGGGAATCAGCTCTGCATTTCTGTAAAAGGCACTTTAACTGTGGTAGAAGGTTGTCAGCCTCTTTGAGACTTAAAATGAGCACCATTTGGTCAGTGGAATACAGAGATACCTACCTGCAATTCTCTCTGTCTCCCAGGCACTATAATGTCTGTTGACCTAGCTGGGCTTTTTGAAAAGGATCTGTGAATCTGCTGGGTTTTAGTAGGAGAGCTTTAGTTTTCCTTAGAATAAAAAGGAAAGCTTTCTTTGTTTCTTTTGGGAAGGGCCTGTCTCTAATGTTATCAGCAGAGGTTTCTCGTTGAAGGTAATGGATTAAGGGATTTCCCCCACCTCTTCCCCATCTCTGCCTTACAGAAATGGCATCAGATATTCCTGGCTCGGTGGCCTTGCCAGTGGCTCCCATGGCGAGTGGACAAGTGAGGATGGCAGGATCCATGCCTTCCAGAGGAGGAAAGCGTCGCTCTGGGTAAGCCATCTCCTTTTTTTTCAGGTCTGAAACTAGAAATTACTTGTATTAGAAAACTCAGAATGCACCTGAATACATGTGTGTGTTTATTATGTAATGTTATATTTATGTAAGCTGCATTATGACATTAGTCACTGATGTTTTGTTTTTCTCTTCAATGCATCTGTTCTTCCTGCAAGATCAAACTTGCTGATAAGCATATGGCTTGTTGTTTTGCTTGTTTCAAAAGATTTTCATGTTTGGCAAAGCATCCAGAAAGGAGTTTGGATCCTGTGGCTGTTGTAGATGTAATGAATGTGTATTGCCTATATCTGTTTAATCTCACAGTGATTTATCAAATGAAAAAAGGTAGCAAGATTGCGCATGAGGACTTACTCAACTTCATCTGAAGGTTACACTTGGAAGCTCTTAAAGAGAGGCCTGTTAAAGATATTTTCTTCATAGTTCCAGGTACAGAAATAGCCTGAGAGCTCACTCTTCAGAGACTGTGGACAGCGATATTCTAGGTCTCACTGGAAGCAGCACAGTCTTCTTCTGGGAGAAGGGCCTGAATCAAATTCAGCCCTTACACTAGCTTGAGGGCTCTGCTAAAGAAGAAAAATTGTTTTATCTAGTATGAGAGACTGATGTGGTGTATGGGGTAGTTGCCCACATCAGGTTGTTCTGTGGCAACTCCAAGTAATTCTCTGTGTTAGGAGAAAAGTGTAGCAAGAGCTTGAGAACAGAAAACTACTCTCTACTGTTAACAGCTCCCTCCTGTTTTTATCAAAGGTTGATCACAAGTAGTAATGGTCTTTGGATGATGCTTTCTCAGAGATCACTGATCTGAGAGTCTCTTCAAAAGAGATTGATTAGTCTTATATTTAGTCCTAAAGCAGGCAGTGGTAGGGCTTAACAGGATCAACAGTGTGAGTAAAATCTTCACTGGCGAACACCTAAGGAGGACATTATTCCTTGCAGGAGCTGCTCTAGGGATTGTTCACCAAGGTATGTTGACAGTTTTGTGTGTCTGCTCCAGTAGCAGTGCTGGAGTCTCAACCTTGGAGTGAATTAAGAAGGGGGAAGGTTGACCTTGTCTCGAATGCAGAGCAAGGTTGGTGTGATGTGAACCCTCTGGATGGTTGTTTTCAGGGGTGTTCCTTTGGGCAGAACTGTTTGAATATCTCCCCCCACTGAGTGCCCTTCTTATGCTGAGCTAACTATCAAATTGGTTTGAGAAACTCCTAAAATCTGTCTTTGACAGGCATCACGTTTTTATTTTCCAGCTGCTTAATGAGAAAACCTTTTTAAATTCACACTCAAAAGAAAAGACAAAGCATTAACATCTTTTCAGTGCTACCTAACATAGATAAGGTTTTGTACTTGAGTTGCAGGATATTTGATCTCTTTTTTGATCAAAAACCATGTCAGCTCTGAATATCAGTTTGAAATTTACTGTTGCCAAGGTTTGATGCTGCTGACTGTGAAATATTCTGATATTAAATACTGACTTGATAGTAATTGAAATGCTTTAACTGTTGCATTTTAAGTATTGTCATCTATTTGTGAGAAGGTGAAGTGAGGGGAGGGTGGGAGGAACATAAAACCAAATTATTTTAAATGTCTTTAACATGTTAATTCAGTGAGTAAATTAGTATAGATTCACTTTTATATCTGGATCATGGTATTTCATCTGTGCACCATAGCTCTGAACTAATTGCCTTTCTCTAAGCCTGAGCTGAGAGTGCTTTTTTTTTTTATTATTTTTTAAATTTTTTTTAATGTTCGCTCTGTATATATTCAGACCTTGAGGGAAAGAATGCCTGCTGTGTCTAATTCCTCTGAGCTTCTCTTTGAACAAAGTTGCAACTAACACTTGGTCCTTTCACTGCTGTTCTGGTGATACATCTTCGTACACCTCAGTCCTTGGGCATTTAAGGAGTGTTCTGTGTCAAACATAAAGGAGTGGAGCTGGCGTACACAGCCATCTTTCCCAGATTTGGTTATCTCTGAAAATTGTTTCTTTTTTCATAATTGCTGAGGCAAGCTGGCAGAATAATTGCTGTGTGGACTTGAATGCAGATCAGTTTAAACTCATTGGCTGTCCTGGAGATGTTTCTGCCCTGTCGGCATTTGGCTTCATTGACAGCTTGGAAAAATATTTTTCCTTTCTATAAATTATACCAACTACTTCACAGAAAAAAGTGACAGCATAACATAATGCACTGCAGTGGTCAATGACTGTCTTAGATTATTGCACCCTCACTTCTTTATTTAATGAGGTTTTAATTCAGGCTTTGATGTGTTAGAGGATAAGAGGCTCTTTCACCTTCCTGGGCTGTCTGTGCTTGGGCAGGGAGGGTTGCAGTTTTTTTATGAGTTGGTTTCTGTTGCATTGGTTTTGTTTTGGTTCACGGTGTAGTTTGGCCTTTTCTCAGAACCAGAACTGTCAAAATCTGGAGAAAAGAGACCTCACTCCACCATTCGGCCCCTCAGTATTGTGCTGAATAAAAGGCTGTAATACAGAGCCCCATCTGCTTCTCAGCTGCCTTTGCTCCTGACCATTCCTGCCTGCCCTCTTCCTACACTGTGTAATCATGGCAAGCATCTTTTGACATTTCTTGGGAATTTTACATAGTAATTTTGTTGCAGTGTTGAAATACTCTTGCAGGTCAATTTTTTTAACCTCTGCAGGTCCAGTTTGTTTGGAAGCATTTTGGTTTGTTGGGGTTTTTAATGAAAATGTTTCTAATTGAGAATAATTAATTTTTTTAAAGTATTTTTATTACTGCATTTATAGTAGCCACACATCTTCTAAGGAAAATACATTTTAATAAGTTCCTCATGCATCAGGCCTTTTCACGACTGATGTGAACAGTATGAAAGAGGAAAACAAGATTTATGCTGTCTCTTCAAAACAAAAGAGCATAGTGCAGCTCTTTTTTAAAGCATCTTTTTAATGGGAATTTTAAATGAAGATAAAAGATAGTCTTTCTGAATCTTCTGAAATGATGTCATTTGTCTTCTGGGAGGCTGCTTCTACTGTTTTGCTAATGTGCAGTATATTCTATCTAAACAGAAGATCTTATCTGTCAGGGTATGAGGAGGTTGATGGAATATTAATTTTACTTGTTCTGCTGTGTTCTGCTAAAGGTTACAACTGATTCACTGCCTTTCCTTTTGCCTTGCTGTAAAGCACAGTGGATCAGGCAGGACACTGGAATCAATGACTTTATATCTGAGGGGGTTTTTTTAATGTTTCAAAGGGTTTTTCATTTTGCACGGTAAAATTAGGAAATGTGTTATTAACAAAGATGGAACAGAGATACGTTTGCTGTTGCATTTTTTAAAGTATTGATATTTTAAATGAAATTTATGTTGAATTTCCATATGAAATAAAGGGGTTTGAGTAGTTTAACAAAGCAAAGGCATTATTTAAAGACTTAGTCTGGTGCAGACTGATGTTATACCCTATGCATTCAGATTCTGCTGTGATGAGCCCACTGTAAATGTGGGAGGTGTTACCTGAGGATATTTATCCATGAAGAATCTCCTGAAGGAAGAAGCTGATATCCAGCCATCTAAATAAATAGGTGTGTTAGTTGCCCTCACTCCCTCAGAGGTGGTGATAGAGTGCAGGCAGCAGGTTGAAGCCTTAAACTGTTATCATCATATCTAATTCCCTGCATTGTATTCCAGATTAAATGTAGTACAGCTAATATTTGATTTTAGTGAAAACCCATCCCTTAGCACTCAGCTGGAGTATTTGGCTGGAATCTGAATAAATCATAGAATCATATCGACCAAGGCATGTGATCTCAGTGTACTGGAGAGGAAGGAAAAGAGTAACAAAATTAATCTGTCCCAGATGAAAGCAGTGTATCATAAAATCCCTGAAGAAAGGCTTTCCCCCACAGGTGTATAATTTTTTTCTGCAGCCCTTTCCCCCCAGTTTGAAACTGTGTTTCTCTCAGATGTGTTTTAGCTGCCAGTGAAACCAAGTAAGGGTGTGATGCTTTTGTGAGTGGCTTCAGGTAAAGCCATCCCAGTGCTGCCCTCCACTTGAAAACAAAGCTCTCCTTAACAGTGACTTCTGCATTTTCAGTGCAGGTAGAAACACTCCAACTCAAATAACTGGGAAGGTTTTTCTGGAATGTCACATTATTACACGTGGGGAGGAAGCAGGTAGGTGAGAGGAGACCCTGGGCTATAGCACATGTGTAAATGGTAAATTTCTGGGAGTGCTGCAGGTCAGGGGCGATTCAGGCTCTGGTGGCAGCCCTGAAAGGCACATTTGGGGTGCCAGCAGCAGCTGGGTCCTGGCTTAGCTGCAGCCCTGCGGCAGAGGTGAGGCCAGTGGCCACTGGGGGTCGGTGCTGTTCTGCATGAGACAGCAGGGATCACGGACCTTGGAACCGGATTTGGTGGTAATTAGGTGAGCAAAGATGTGATTTATAGTGAAAACGACGATTGCATCAAAGCTAAGCAAGTTAAACACACAGCTTTTCTTAAAGCTCTTTGGGGAGAATGGTTTTCTCTTTGCTTCCTCCAGAAATGAATAATCACTGTTACCATCTGGAAAATATTATTGTAACTTTTCTAGTGCCATGTCCAATTCCTGTGCTGACTTGCTGCCCTCATTCCAGTTGTATGGAGGTTGCTGTGACTCAGACACATCTTTTATGGGCCAGTCTGTCTTGGTTGTCAGAATTTAAGAAGGAAAAATTTAGAAGAATTTAGGAAGGCAGTGCCTGACTGGCACTTCTCCTTCTCTATGCTGATGTAGTTTTAGAGGCTGTTTTTGCATCTTTTTTCCCACACTCTGGACATACAAATCTCAAATTGTCTATGGTAGGAATAATTTTAATACTGACATAGATATCGTCACTTTGAAGAGTTTTTTCCCTTAATAGGACTTATACCTGTTAATATGAACAGTGTTAGACACATGGAATCTGCAGTTTTATGAAGTTTTACTACACTGAAAGGCTGGAAAGCTTAGAAGTTAAAGAAATCTGAGAAAATGTTTGCAAAACAAAACTGTAATTTCCTATCTACACAAATAAAAAGTGATCAAGGTCTGTATACCATACTAATGCATTTTTATTAAAATAAATACACTAATACAATAATTGTATATGATAGTTTTGTATCAGCTTGGCTGTCTAATGGCAGAGTTACATCCTTATATTTGGGGATATAAATATTTATCCACCTCTTTTTAGAGGTATACAAATGTCTAAAATACTTTGTAAATTATATTGTTGTATTATTTTGTAGTGATAATATCTGTGATACAATCACACTGCCTAATACAGGAATCTAATTTAGATGTCTAAATTAGGAAGATAATCTTCCAAGTCTGTTTGTGTAAGAAGTGAAGAAAGAGGTTCCTGCTTTTTGTGGCTCCCTGGAGGAGTCAAACTGGCAGGCTGGGATTTGGCCCAAGGAAGAACTCAGCTCTTCCACAGCCTTGAGAAGGTCTGGGACATAAATCAGCTGATGAGCTGCTCCTAGGCCTGGAGGGGATGAGCAAGGCTGGAATCCTCAGTCGTTAACACCTCTAGGCAAAACACACATCAAACAACACTGAGAACAGCTGGCTTGAATGTTCATGCCACCATTGCCAACGCCTTGATTGCTGATTTGGAAATCTTGCTTTTACAGAATGGACTTTGATGATGAAGATGGGGAGGGGCCCAGCAAATTTTCAAGGTGAGCATTTACAAAAGAGTTGGCCAAATCACTGATTTCTTTCAGTGGGGAAAGACAGCTGTCTCATTACTGATGTTTGAAAATCAGAATAAATATGAATGAAGAACTTGCCAACAACTTGACCCAAATACTAGTTACTCTTTTTATCAGCTCCCTCTGAAAATTAGGCATTCTGGCAGAAACCTGCCTAATGTAGTTATTGGCTTATAAAGCTGACAGCGTGTGTGTCTCTGCAGCTATATCAAATGAGAAAACTTGTGATTTTTAGCTTATTATTTCAACTGCTGTAGATGAACTTTGATTGTTTGACATTGCTGAAGTTGTCTTTTGGCCACTGAAAATGAAATCTCATTTCTAATTTATTTCAGATGTTAATTGCTTGTTAAGACAATTTGACAGATGTAGAGGTGGATTGTTTTTTTAAAGTTAGTGAGCTTTACATTATGTACCATTAGGTGTAACTGAATAGTAAAAAATGACAAAAAAATGTTAATTAACATGGGATATTAAAAGCTAGAAATAAACAGTAAAGCCTCATTGCCATTTTTTTCACTTTTCCTTTTTTCTTTTCCTGGTCACACTGTTTGCATTTTTTCATTAGAGACCAATCAGCTGCAGTGAGGGGTGTAGATATTTAAGGCCTGTGGGTAACTGCTGATTATCCAAATTGTGATTGCAGCTCTGTAGCAGCAGCCATGTTGCAGCACAGCTGTCACTGTAGGGTTTAACAGGGTCATTCCAGTCTGAAAGAGAAGTGTGCTGAAGATCCACTGTGACACCATATCATCATTTATTGGACAAGACCAGCAGCACTCCTGTTTGGTTAAAATCATTTACAGAACCAGTCCCTGGTGTTAAAACTTATGATTTGAGGGCTTAGTCCTAATATTTCCTAGAAGACACATGTTAAGGGAACAAGATTTGTGATGAAGGGACATGATTTGTGCCTGCACAAGCAGCAGGGTTTCTGGGCACACTGATACACGTGTTGGTCCTTTCCCATTCTGGTTTTGGCCTTTCAAAATTTGGTGGTGGGTTGAACCAATAATTCCATTGCTTTTAATGGAGAGGCATGCTGTGCTGTGCTTAGACTCAGTTGATTTTAGGTGTCAGATCAAAATCTGATATTTAAATCTTAAATGCTGTATAGACCCCAGATTGTTCTGTTTTTAGAGAGTACAGAAAAACCATGCAGGCACACCCAGGGCTATGTTCAGACATCCTCTTCTAGTTGTTCCCATCTCCAGATTGCTCACAGACTTACTCCTAGCTTGTTTCAGTCAAAATTATTTAGTTGTCAAAGAGCTGCTGTTTAAATGTTGATGCGAACTCAGCTGGCTTTGACTGAAGTGCCTGAAGGAGCACTTCATGTGCAGAGGTCAGCTGGGATACTGGAAGGGAAAAACCAGTATTTGGAGGCAATAACATCTTCAGTTATTGCAGAGAAGGATGAGTAGCCAAGGCCCAGGCAGGTGATGTTAGCACAGTGCTCCATGGCAGTGACACACTCTGCTTCTCAGGGCTTCCAGCTCAGCTCAGGTATCCCTGCATGGCACCTCATCCTCACACAGAGCCTGTGCATGTGCTTCCCCTGTAATGTGCCCATGCCTCACTGAATTGGTCTTTTTGCTGAAAATTATTCAGCTTCAGTCTGTTCTCTGGGCAGAGTCAAGGGGAGTAAAGTGGTGCTGTCACTTGAATGTTCTGAGGACGCTGGTGTTGAACACAGCATGAAGAAATACAGCTCAAGGCTTGCTGAAGTGTTGTCTTCACTGTTTGAATGAGGAACTTGCATAGGTGGATCCCTTAAAATTAGTTTTAATGCATTTCAGACAGAAGAAAAGAAAAAGTTCACTATTGATTTTTTAGAAGAGGAAAGCATGCTTGTTTAGGCTGTATTACTGTTTTAGCTGATACATGGGACTTTCATAGGCTGTCTGTTGTAACAAATTACATCATTTTTGAAAGGTGTAATTTTAATACAAAATCTCATTTAACTGTTCTTGAGCAGTTATAGTCTTCACTTCTAGAAAAGCTATTACCTTATTTTTGTGCTTTCCAAAACATACATTTTGTGTTTTGGAACTAGCAGTTTCATTGCAAACAAATGAGTTTTCCATAACTAGCAAAATCCAATTGCTTCACTTCTAGAAAAGCCATTACCTTATTTTTGTGCTTTCCAAAACATACATTTTGTGTTTTGGAACTAGCAGTTTTGTTTCAAACAAATGAGTCTTTCCATAACTAGCAAAATCCAATTCCAAATGATTAGTGTGTTTTTTAGGAAAGAGAAGGAGGAGCAGCATGTCATTTTTTATTGGATTGTCACATTGCTGCCTGTCTTTGGGACAATGCTTTAGAAACAGTGAAGCTTTAGTCCCACAGGACCAGTCTCATTGGTCTGGATTTCCTCCATGAAGGTACTGCTCAAACACCACACATACCTGCCTGGGCATCCAACTTCTGTTGATTTGAGTAGGAACGAGGTACCTGTTTACTTCTAGGGAATTAAGCTAGTTTAAATTTCACTTGTATTTACCCAGCAGTTTCACCTGCCTGCCTTTTGCCAGCCTCCAGGACAGTCAGTACAGTGTCCATACCTACAGAACTTTTTCCTGTAGGCTCCTTTACATAAGACATCACCTTTCAGCCGTGTCTCTGCCCTCCTGTGTTATCTGTAGACCATCAGTGCCCTCTGCTGAATGGAGGGAGCTGTGGTTGCAAGCTGGAACAGATACAGCCCGTTCACTGCCAGCACAGCAATGAATATTTCATGGCCTGCTGTGGATAAAAGCTCACTGGTGTTTTCTGTACTGGTGCTGCTTGTTAAGTTTCCCAAGAAATCAGTGTATGTCAAAGTGTTTGCTTAAATCCACTGAAATGTGTCTTCTAGTTTTTTAAATATACAAATGAAGTTTCTGGTTCAGCATGGCTTGGTTCAGGCTCTGTGTTTTCTTTGCTTATCATTCTCATACCTTTGTTTTGTTCTTCTTGCTGTTATTTGTAATGGTTTGCAGTTGTGGATTTTTTTGCTTTCTGCTGTGTGTTGGCTGTCAACCAATGCATAACCCCTGTTGATTGATGTACTATCTTTTGTTTTAGGTATGATGGTGATCAAATCACTGGTGATAAGGAAAAGTTTGCAAGGTAGGCGTGTCCTGTAGAGGTCTTCTGCTGAGAGAAAAGAGGGGGATGTTCGTGTCCAAAAAATCTCAGTACGTGTGCCTTAGCTTAGAGAGATGGTTATTCTGTTTTAGGTGGGATGATGATCAAAGTGCTGCTGACACAGAAGGGAAAGGTAGGAAAAAGGGAAGTCAGATATGGTTTGCCCCCATTTTTCTTTTATATGGTGCTGTTCATACTGATCTTTTGGCTGTTCCAAAACTGCTTGAAGTCAGAAATACAAACCCATAGTGGTTTTGGATTGGCTCCCCTGTATCCCAAAATTTAATGTCCCTTCGTAATTTCACTATAAAAACAAAGTTGAAATGACAGAATTAGGACATCATTCTGTACAAGGTTGTGAATGCCAGGGTTCCTAGGACACACACTTTAGAAGAGCAGCACAGCCCCTCTTTTTCTTTTAAGGCTTTAAATTTGAATTAGTTTCAGGAAACTTTTGGGGTATTGTTTTCTTGAACATTTCCACAGCCAGTAGATTAACATGCTACTACTTTCTATCTTAAATGAAGTGGACTATTGGGATACTCCTTTTCTCTCAGGAATTTTTAGAGTCTCTTTGTTTAGTCTCTATAATGGTGGTTTTCAATGTCCAGAAGTGCTAAAATACTTGAGTGGTAGACAATGTATGATGTACTTATAAGTGTGAAATGTATGTTGAATCTGTCTGTTCTTTGTCTCTCTCTCTTTTTTTCTTAACCACCGCTTCTGTGAAAATGCTGAACTTAGAGCAAGCTTTCATCATGTAAAAATGCTTTTATCTTCCCTGTGTCCATATTTATCCGCATGTACCAGCTGGCATGTACACACGTGTGCTCTGTGTACATGTGCACTGTCACACCAGCTGTGTGTATGACCCAACTCCCCCTGTTCCCTCCTGCATCTGTGCAGACCCACACAAGGGCTGTTCCTCAGCCAGGTGAAAAGTTCACTATTACAGTGTCCTGGACAGTGACCTCAGGCAAGGCTTGGCTGTAATTTACTGAGCAGCCATGGGCTGTCATGGCTGGATTTTCTGCATATCACACAGTAAGCATTGGAACAACAACTGTGCATGTAGCTCTGACAAGTGTTGTTTCTGCAGACTGTGCCTCATGCATGTAACACCTGTATGTGCAGGGGCAGGAAAAAGCAGGGCAAGCCCTTGCATTCTTCTATTTCAGGAAGCAGCATACAATTCTTTCCTGAATTTTAAGAAAAGGCTTAATTCGTAAAGTATCCAAAAAGTGTGCCAAGCCTAGCTTCTGCTTTCATAGTCAGTCTTCATAGCAGTCAACTCCAAAGAATGTTGCAGTTTCTTTTAATGTTGTGTTATCACATCAGTCAATGCTGGTGGACTCTCCAAGTGATCACCTGTCACATCTTGTTGGATCAGCCAGCGATCCCACAAGACAATGCCATGCACAGCTCATTGAAATCAGTGGAAGATGCTGCTTTGACAACTGAAGCATCATCTACCTGTCGTGTACTTGTATTTAGCTGCCACCTGACAGGTACAGTATGAGAAGAATCAGTGCTGGGCACTGAAGCATTCTAGGTCCATTTGGACCATTTCAGATGTATATATTGGTATGATTTCCAGAATGGGAAAACTGAGCTCTGAGATGTTTATTTCTGAAAGATTCTGGTGGGTGTCCATTTTGGGATTTCTCAAATTTGACTCACCACCTCAGCCATATGATTCCTCTAAAGGATGAGAACATTGCAGCCTAGCCCAACTCGGGGCAGCATCAAGTACTGTCATTGTTGCTTCCCTGCTGTGCTAAATTGTCCCTGAACATAAATTCCAGTCTATGTCTGACAAGCCAGCTGTTTACTTGCTGTCTTTCGTACTTATTTTATTTATTTATTGGGATTTTTTTTGTATGTATTGTTATCCCATATATGGTCCCAGTGATGCAGTCTGATCCTGCAGGCATGTAGTGACTTCCTGCAGGGGTGTGGGGTGTTCCAAACAGCATTTTTTGGGATCTGTGTTGTTACTGAATGGGCTTTTTTCATAAGTCAGTGCTGATGTTTCCTGCTGACCTGATCCAGTTGTAAGTGAGAGGTTTCCTCTAAAGGACACCTTTTATAAGCAGCTGAGAGATGCATCGCGGCAAATCTGGGAGTTTGACTGGAGTTGGCAGATGTTAGTTCCTCACATATTTCTACTTCATTTTTGTCCTTAAACCAAAGGAGATTAAACTGGTTAAGAGATTAAGGCCACAAGCCAATAAATAGAAATACATGTTCTTTTCACAGCTATGGGCAAATCATATTTATCTGTCTGTGGCCTGGATTTTCTGTCTGTAAACGGAGGGATAACAGTGGTTTGCTTTGTAAAGCACTTTGCTCTCCTGGGGTGCAAACAGCAAAACAAGTGCGAAGCATTATGATTCATTACCTCCAGCTGAGATTCTTACACCGCTCACGTCTCTTTTCTGTTGCTTTGGTGTTTCTTTAAATGCTCAGGGAGAATCACAGTGAGATTGAGAGGCGCAGGAGAAATAAGATGACCCAGTACATCACCGAGCTGTCGGACATGGTGCCCACGTGCAGCGCCCTGGCTCGAAAGCCCGACAAGCTGACCATTCTTCGCATGGCTGTTTCCCACATGAAGTCCATGAGGGGCACTGGAAACAAATCTACTGATGGAGCTTACAAGCCTTCCTTTCTTACAGAACAGGTAGAATTTACAAAAATTTTGGTTAACCCTGGTTTTTTTGGTCTTAAAAGGTGTGAGAAATGCTGAGAGGAGTAGAGCCTCAGCTTGATCCTTCACTGTAGTGTAGCAGCTGGTACCAGTTACATATCTAAGGTGTGAATACAGACAGTTTTTTGTCACTGTTTGGACTTGATCTTAACACTGACAGATCTTTCATTTTGGAAAAGCAAATTGGTATTCTTACCATTGCGATCTGTCCATCTGAAAAACAAGTCACTCACTGCCTCACAGAAAGGAATTTTCACCTTCAGATCTGGGTTCTTCCCATCCTAACAGAGATTCTCTAAAATAAGTAAAAATTAGTCTGGAAAGACCTGCCTCTCTCTCTGGGGATTAGAGGAAGGTTGAAAACATCATTTAGTCTTAATGTTGGAGCTCCCAGCAGCTGAACTGGGCAGAGATGAATCCCATCTCTACTGGCTGAGGTACTTCTTGGTTATATTTTTGATAGAAGAAGGAAGATGCACCCAGTGCTTGAAGGAAAACTGTGTTTACTGAGCACTTTGAAAATTCCTACCCACCTCCATTGTTTTCGAAGTCCTATGGGTGTAGTGTTCATTTTTGTGGTCTGAAGTGATTTAAGCACTTACACATGGAAGTTATGGCTGGAGGCAATACTTCTTTCTCTTAGATAAACAGCAGCTGCTGCTGACCTCTCAGTGCTCACGACTGCTTATTCCAGCTCTCCTGGAGTGTGTTTCTGGAGGGACTGTGCCATTCTGCTGGTGGCACACCCTAGTCACTTCTTATTGCAATTTTTTCATTTTCTAAATCTTGCAGAATTACAGAGTTTGCTTTCATCTTTTTTAATAATGTGCAAAACTGATTATACTGTCCTCAGTGTAGTGTGGCCAGCTGTGCTATGAGGTTTTTTGTTTAGTGGGTAATTTGGGGTCAGTGTGCTTTCTCTGTAACAAAGCAGCAGAAGCTGACAATCTGTTGAGTGTTTCTTGAGATGAGTTATCCATTTCTTAGTGGTTAGCCAGATTTTTATCCTCACCTTATCAGCAATACCTGCCACTGTCACACTAACCCTGCTGAGCCGTCCCGCCTGGAATGGGACTCCGTGTTTGAGTTCCAGGTGCAGGATCTTAACAAGCTCTGGTGGTCACTGGAGCCACCAAAGGCTGTTCCAGCTTCTGTTGCAGGAACTGGAGTGGTAGTTGTCATCCTTTGCCATGAGAGGTTTTCAAGCTCTGTTAAGGAAAGGGAGTATTTCTGGGTGATGCTGAGGCTTCATACTCAGAGGCTGGAAAACCTCCAGAACCTTCTTGTGTAGTGGCTCAAGGCCCTTAATGGAAGAAGAGGCTGGGGATTCTTTCCTCATTCCCATTACACTTTCTGCCTTTTATCTGGTGGCTGTTTAATTTACAAACAGAGCTCATCCTGAGTAGGGCCAGGGAGAACCAAACTAGAAAGTCTTATTGCCTTCTTTCCAACTAAATTATTCAGAACTTTTAATTAAGGCATGAGTGTGCCGTGAGTTAGAGCTGTTCATTTCCTCTGTTTGCACTCTGAAATATCTTTTTATTTTTTAATGTTAGATGCCTAGCACAGATTGTACAGTGAGTATTAGTTGTTTATTTTCCTTAAGTGCATGGAGATCCAGATGAAAGGCAAGAATGGAAAATAAAACATTTTTTGTTATTGAGATGGGCAATTTATGCCTTGCTGCAAGTTTAGTTGTATTGTTACATCAGTGAAAATTTCGTCTCAGTTTTGTTCAGCTACTAAGATCACAAGAAAACAATATTCTCTGACAGTGACAGATGTTATATTTAATTCCCTTTCCTTGCCAGCATTCTAATCAAATCCTTTCTTTGGAAGGAACTGAAACACCTTATCCTGGAGGCTGCAGATGGGTTCCTGTTTGTAGTTGCAGCTGAGACGGGGAGAGTGATCTACGTGTCAGACTCTGTGACTCCTGTGCTGAACCAGCCCCAGTCAGAGTGGTTTGGCAGCACTTTGTACGAGCAGGTTCATCCAGATGATGTGGAAAAGCTGCGAGAGCAACTGTGTACATCTGAAAACTCCATGACAGGTCAGATATGGCTGATGGCTGCTTCTGTGTGTTCAGGATCCCTGGAGAGCTTTTCCTGACATTCAGAGTGCCAGGTGTAAAAATCTGGTTAAAGTGAAACTTGGCTAGATTAAGCTGTGTTTTCTTGCAGGCAGTACAGTAATATAAATCTTTTGTTGAGTGACTGCATTTTGCTTCCTATTCATTGACTTCAGTCAAACCACCTTCATGTAGCTCTGCATTCAAAATCTAGTTTGGAATCTGGATTGTTCTCAGGCTTGGTCTGGAAATGTAGATTGTTTTCATTTCATCCCCAGTGAACTTGTGACTGCAGTGTTTAATTTGAAGTCAAAAATCATACTTCAGACTTTTCTGTTTTCATACAAGTTCCTTGTGGTTTGCTAACTGGAATCTTGAGGGGAAAAAATCCAGTGTTTGGCAACTGAAAATATGCTGGATTTTAATCATGAGGCTCCTGTGCAGTAGTGTAAGTTACCTGAAAGTTTATTACCTATCATGTTGCACATAAAACTAAACCATATTCATATCTACAACTCTGACTTTTACAATTATTCATGCTCAAAGCTGCCAATAGGAAACCACCTTGTCTTTAATAGGATGTGTATGTTAGAGCTGTGAGAATTAGCTAAATCCTGTTGTAACTCAAACTTGGAAAGGAGGAAACTTCTCTTTTTAGTCTTCACGTATTATGTTTATAGCTGAAGGAAAAAACGTAGGAGATGATATTTAAAAAACCCCTGATCCTTGCAGGAGTCACATAATTTCTCTTTGCTTTAGTAGCTAAAACTGACCTGGTTTGCTGGAAGTTTTGTTGAATTTCATAACTCAAAGGACAGCGATCCAGTTTTGAGTGAACCTGCACACTGTTTACAGCTTCCATGTCAAAACAGTGCCAAATTCATGATTTCCCGTGGTTTGAATGTGATGTGGTTTTGGCAGAGCTTTCGTGTATTCAAATGGGAAGCTCAAAGCAAAATTCTGTGGTGAAATTCCAGATGGATGGAAACCAAGTGAACAGTTAGGGGAACCTGTGCAGGGCAAAACAGCTGAGTTTCATGCCATGAGACTTGCAAAAGAGCACAATCTCTGTTTTTATTATGCAGTCTGTAATACGTTTTAGCATACATACCATCTTGTCCAAGAAACAATTACTCCAGAGCCTCAGTGAACAGTCATGTTTTGACTTCCAAAAGGTCTCAGTTATGGGACTTAACCTGATCAAACTAGAGCTGGATGAGACACATGCAGAGCACTTCTGAAAACCCGACTCTGTATTTTTTCCAGCCTTAGCTATGAGCTTTTCTTCTGCACTGAATTGATCTGTGGCCAGTGGAAAGAGAAGTTCAATAGTATTTATAGAGCTAAATCTTTTCCCTGCCTGAATCTTTTGGAGTTGTCAGAGTGACACAGAAGGCCTGTAAATTTGGTGTACATGGACAGCTGAACGTTTGCCCAGCATGAGGAAAGCAGGGTCGCCTGCTCAGCTTTTTGAGTACTTTTGTTTTAAAGATGTGGCTGGTAAAGTAAAGTAATTTTGTTTACAAGTAGTTCTGTAGTTTGTGGAGCATACAGACCACCAGAAAGTTCTAGATTTATTATTTTAAACTTGTATTTCCTCCACTCTACAAGGTACTACTAAATAAGAGAAGCAGTCTTCTATAAGTACTGTCAGTCCAGCCTCAATTTGTTTATAAGCTGCAGGCACCATCACTCTTGCTCCTATGAGATGCCTTTCTAGGAGAAAGGTGATTTTAGAGTCCTTTCAGCCAGTTACACTTCCCTTGCTGTAGCACAGGCCATATTGAGAGCAGCAGCTTTGTAACAATTACTGAATCAAATCTTGCAGTGACCTGAAATAATGTGTGTCTTAGTGACATTTCAAAAGATGTCAAGGAGGCAAATGCATTTCCTCTAATTTGGTATTTATTAAACCAAGTTTTCCTTGGCTTTCCAAAGGCATGTTTCATGCAGAACAAAGGGCAGTGTGGAGCTTGAAAGGGATGGAAACCACAAGGCAGTCAGCTGCATCTAGAGTGTTTTTTGCTCAAAGTTCACTTCAGGCAGTAGGAATCTCCTCATCTTGTAGTGACGTCTGGCTGTTGAGCACGGGATCTGTTTAGGGAAAAGATTTTCAAGTGAAAGTGTAACAGTATGTATGATTTTTAATTTTGCTCTCTTCCTCATTTTCTCAGGGTCCATTTTCTCCATGCTATAACCTCCCCCTTCAGCCCTTGAGCTGGGAAAGCAGTGACAGCATTTTGACTAAAGAGAAACTTCACTTGCCCTGCAGCAGATCCGAGCAGTGTCCTTTGGTTGTAATTGTCTTGTTACAAGTGCTGATCATTAGTGTGGTGTTGCTGGGATTTTCCTAGTGCCTCTTAGCAGTCCTCTTATCCAGAGATGCTGTTCCAGACCCTGAGAACTTGGGAGGCTGCCACTGCCAACGGGGAGGGACAAAGAACAAGCCAGAGGAGGAAGCAGGCTCCCGCTCACATTTCTGCCCCCAGGAATAAGAGTGGGACTGGGGCTGTGCTCACATGAGCATTTCTTTGGCAGTCACACAGCTTATGCAATCCTCACCTCATTTCACCCTTTCCTCCTTTGGCATTTCTGTGGTACTTACATATGAGTCACATCAAGGGGTTGACCTGCTGAAAGCTAAACTAGGTTAAAACCCCTTGGTTTTGGTAGAGACAGCTCTTTGGCCCACCTGATCGTGGGGTTTCTCAAACTCTTCTGAGTGCTGACACCAAGGAGAAGCAGGAAGTGAATAGTTAGGAGGAGACAGGACTTCAGGAGCTGTAAAATGTATGTCAAATTGAAGTACCTGTTAACCATGGCCTCAACCACGTGATGTGTTTGGGGAGTTAATTGGTTGCTCTTCCTTGAAATTTTAGGATATGGGGAAGGATGGATAGTTTATATTTAATTTTGTGTCCTTGGAGGTTTTATTCCCTGGAATTGGAACAATTGTCTGCTTGTTTATTGTGCATTAATTGCTAACACATTGTAGCAACAGGAAAGCTGAACTGTGAAGTGTATGAACAGTTAGAAATGATCTAGAAAAGAGCAGCTGAGCCATGATGATGGCAAAAAATTGAGCTCCCAAGAAGTTTTTATGTGCGTCATATGCATGATTAATCAGAATGGGGCAGAGATATTCAGAGTGATAATTCATTTTCCCTCTTTGTTCTTGAAAATCTGCAGATGTCAAAATAAATCACTTCAAATATGGATGAAGATCAGATCCCACGGGAGGATCCATTAGCAAAGACCTCTTTGAGCTCAGGGTGCACTGGTGGAACTTGGGGGATGTTGGGTTCAGGTGCAGGCTCAGTCCCAGTGCAAGTGAGAGCCTCTCAGATGCAGACAGCAAATCTCTAATGGTACAGGGAACAGACAGAATTTAGATTTAAGTGTAGAGAAAAGCCACTTTTGAAGAATTCTTCTGCTACATTAGCTTTCAGGAAAAAATGGCTAAGTAAGTATTGTAATAAATTGTCCTTTTGTTAAAATGCAGTGTTCCAGAGCACTTTGCAGGACTGATTTCTACAGATGTAATTCTCCATAAGTAGTTCATGAAGTAATAGAGTGATGAGCACAGACACCTCTGTATGGTTGCCTGGAAATACTCCCAGTGATTCCATGACGTGTCTGAGATGTGCTTGTCAGGGCTCTAAGACCCCTGTTCCTGCACCCAGCATCTCCAGTGGTGCAAATGGGAAGCACCCAGGTTTGTTATCCTCAGTCCTGGGCTGCAGGCAGCACAGCACATAGAAACCAGCTATAACATCTCCCTTCAGCCTCAGCCTCTGTGCCTAGGTGAGGCATTTGCCATCCCACCCATGCCACATAGGCTCTCAGGACAGTTGGGTTCTCCTGGAGTCCTTGCAAACTGTTCCAGCTGAACAGTTAAGGGGTGGTGAAAGTGCAGAGCAGTGACTGCAAGAAAATTATGAGAACCAGAACCTCTACAGCTTTCATTTTCAAGTGATTTAAAAATGACTAAGTCACTTCACTTGCTAGCTGACAAGGATTAGTTGAGGTTACTTCTGGACAGAACTTGTATGCCAAGTTTAGTCTTGGCAAGATCTTTTATTGCCATATTTTTTAAGTGTGACAAAGTAGAAATTTATGATGGAAATGGTGACTGACCACAGCAAAAGTTGAGCTGATAGGCATCCCTTGAGAAGAAAAAAGCATTGTGTGACAATTTTCTGTGGTTCATGTATATTATGGAAGCATCACTCCATGCTGTAAAAGCATAGATTTGGACTGGGGAACCTGTCTCACAGAACCTTCTAATAACATGTTGTCTTGCAGGGATGATTTCAGCTTAGGCAGTTTTCTGTCCAGCTGCAAGCCCTTGTTACCAAGCAGTTTGTAGACACAGCCACAAAATCCAGATGTTGTAGATAGTCAATTTGTAAAAATTAGAAAACTGTTAAGCTCAAAAGAGGGAGGTGCCAGAGACCAGGGGCTCACCAGTGGAGAGGCAGAGTAAGACATTCCACAGCACTGAACAGATGATAAATAACCATGTGAAAGAGAAAATTTAGGATAACTTTTCTCCTCAACACACAATCTTCCTGAAAAATAAGTGCAGGATTTTTCATGCTGTGAGCTGCCTTACGCTGCCATGTCTGTTTTCCAGCTCTGATTTCTGCATGATCTTTCTTAGAAGGAAGAGGATGGTTCTCATATTGACAGCCAGCCAAGTGAATGTAAATGTGTTTTTTGAACTCTGACTTTCCATGAATTATTTAGAACTCCAGCTGATACAGAGAAGAGCTGGATGAGACTCCTATTTAGCTTCACATATAAAATTCTCCAAAGAAATTCAAAGACTGAGTTGAGCCATGACAAGAAACACAGTCCTGACAAATGCAATCCTGTTCTGCCTTAAACGTCATCATCAGTAATAGTAAAACTCATGTTTAATGGAATAGTAATATATTACCAAAAGAATATATGGGTTGAGTTCTGCACTCTGTTGGCAA